TAATATTCCATTGTGTGAATATACCATAGTTTTTCTATCCATTTGTTGATGGGCACTTGGGTTGCTTCCATTTCTTTGCTACTGTGAATAACATAGCAACAAACATAGATGTGCAAACATCTGTCTGAGTTGTTGTGGCTATGGTTTCTTTAGAGTATATTCCTAGTAGTGGAGTTGCTAGGTCAAATGGTATTTCTATTTTCAACTTTTTGAGAAAATTCCAGACTGTCTTCCATAGTGGTTGACTGGTCCTGCTGGTCCCACCAGCGGTGAAAAAGAGTTCCAGTCTCTCCACAACCCAGATAGTATTTGTTTGCTGTCCTGTTGTTGAACTTTGCTATTACTGCTGGGGTGAGACCTCACAGATGTTTTGAATTGTTAATCTCATAGTTGTTTTGATTTGCATATCTCTGATACCTAAGGATTTTAAACATTTACTTCTTCATGTGTTTGTTTGCCATCTGAATGTCTTCTTTGGTGAACTGAGATCCTATGCACATTTTACAACTGGGATGTTTACCTTTTTTCTTGTTGAGGTGTATATTTTGGTTCTTGTGGAATTGTTTTAATTTTCTTCAGCTTCAAAATGAACTTGCACATGAGTAATTTATCTGTTCCACAGTCAGCACCCAGCATAGTTTTGACTACTGATACTGAGCTTGTCTAATCATGCCTTCCACAGATGTAGTCAATCTGATTCCTATGTAGTCAATCTGGTGAGATCTATGTATATAGTTACCAGTTTTGGATTTTTTTTTTTTAAAAAAACACAACAACAAGGTATTTGTGATGAATAAATCACTGAACATACAAAATTCGATTATTCTATTTCTGGCTTCATGTCTGCCACCAAGACCATACTTTCCAACTTTTCCTTCCTTCACTGTTTCAAACTTACACATTACAACCACCAATTACCATTAATGGACCCTGACTGCATGTTTGGTCCATTCTGGACAGTAGAATTTTATAAAAACCTTAAGTATCCTCCTCTTTGGTTTTAGCTATTGATGTTTTTGTTTTGTTTTAGATTGTAATGAAAGTGTATAAAGAATTTGGATTTCCATTCATTCATTGTTGTACATTCTCCTCCCTGTCCCTCCTTCCCCGAGTTCACTTTTTTCTTTAGAAAAAAAAGTCACTTCTTTATTATACAGTCCCCACCCCCCACCCCCCGCCCAGACTACTTTACTATGCAACTCTTATTCTGGACTTGTCATACCAACAATACCTAATCATATATTCCTTTTAAACAGTTCTCTCCCTTGTCTGTTTCAATGTCGTGTACATTATTTATCCCCTCTTTTCTTAGTTTCCCTCAACCCCCATATCAGTCCTGTTCTGTAACAGTGGCATTATGCAGTATTTGTCTTTTGTGACTGAGATATTTCATTTGGTGCTTATTTTTTTTTAATAATAGTCATACGAATGGGTCTTCCTTGTGCATGTATGAATAAATACCCTATTACTAACAACACTGTACTTCAAGATAGTACTCGAAATTGTCGTTTTAACTAAGAGTGCAACACTATTCTTACTTGGTTTTTCATTCCCTTCATAGTACATGTCTGATTCAAAGTGGCCAAAGCCAATCCTTCTCTTTTTACTAATGGTTAGAATGAGTCTGATTTAATTTTCAAAATTTCTAATATTTCAACATTCATACTTCATATATGCAATATTCCAACTATTAAAAGATGTCTGTAGCTGTTTCTTTTTCATTTTGATTGACTTCCAATCTGGAATCTCTAATACTGTATCTATCTGGGATTCTCTATGATTGATAGGGATTTCAGAGGCCTGCTATTTCAGAAGTGGCCAAGCCTGCTTCCTAGTCTGCCTTCAATACGAACTACATCTCAATGTCAAGAAAACAAAAATTCTCACCAATGAACTGATAGGCAATATCATGATAGATGGAGAAAAGACTGAAACTCTCAACAACTTCATTTTACTTGGATCCACAATCAATATACTTGGTACCAGCATTCAGAAGATCAGGAGATGTGTTGTACTGAGGAAGTCTGCAGTCAGAAATCTCTCCACTGAGGAACAGTGATGTCAGTTTGAGGACAAAGGTGCCCCTTATTGAGGGCCTGATTTTTTTAGCCACCTGTTATGCATCTGAGAACTGGATGACAGAAGAAAAATTGATGCCCTTGATCTGTGGTGTTGGAAGAGTGCTGAATATTCCATGCACTGACAAAAGAACAAACAGATGTGTCTTGGAGAAGGTGCAGCCAGAGTACTCCTTGGAGGCAAAGATGATACAGCTGCATCTCACATACTTCAGGTATGTTGCTAAGAGAGGCTATTTCTTGGAGAGAAACATCATGCTTGGAAAGACAGAGAAAAGATGAAAGACAGGAAGATGCTCAACCAGGTGCATTGACACAATGTCTGCAGCAATGGGCTTGTGTATGTCAGAGATTGTGAGGATGGTGCAGGATAGGAGAGGGTTCATATTGGTTCACAGGGTTACTATGAGATGTACTTGACTTGATGGCACATAACAACAACTTTAAAGTTACAAAGACTGTAAAATTGTTTTTGTTGTTATGTGCTGTCGAGTCGTTTCCGACTCATAGCGACCCTATGCACAACAGCCCTAAACCCTGCTCTATCCTGCACCAACTGCACTGCCTCTGACACACCCATCCCGATTACCCCAGTCACCGAATCAATCCATCTCACAGAGGGTCTTCCCCTCCTGCGCTGTCCCTCCACCCTCCCAAGCATGATGTCCCTCTCCAAGGACCCGTCCGTCCTGGCAACATGTCCAAAGTATGTCAGACGAAGCCCCAGAATCCTTGCCTCCAAGGAGCAGCTTGGTTTAATCCTCTCCAAGATGAATCTGTTTGTTTTCCTGGCAGTCCAGGGTACATTCAGTACCCTTCTCCAGCACCACAGCTCAAAAGCATCCACTCTCCTTCTGTCCTCCCTAGTCATTGTCCAACTCTCTGATGCATAACAAGCAATTGCAAATACCATGACCTGTATCAGGTGCACCTTAGTCTCCAGAGAGACACTGTTGCTCCTGAGTACCTTAGAGAGGTCCCTAACAGCAGACTTTCCCATCGCGATATGCTTTTTGATTTCCTGACTGCTGGTGCCAAGAGCGTTGACTGTGGAGCCAAGCAATCTGACTGTAAAATACATTCCTTTTATTCCTTCTAATATAACTATATGTGGAATACAATTTAATGGAAGTAATAACTATATCAGATATATGCATTTTCCAACATTCCTCAATCATAGATATAAAAGGTTAAAAGCAATAGAGTGCCTGTGAAGATAAAAATCTAATATTTTCTCCCAAAATAAAGAGGAACATTAATGCATGTGGAATAAGGATATCGTGTAGAATAAATCTTTCACTAAAAGTGCAAGAAATAGATCCATAGTAAATCTCCATTCTAAATATGTATATATTTTCAGTTTGCATACTGCCAGAATGAAGCATTTTTAAAACTTTAAAATATAAATCAATAATCCATATACCACAAATGAGAAATGAGTATAGATTTACATATAGTCTAATGAGGAGAATAACGGTTATTCACTACTGAGTTACCAAAGTATATGTATGTGCAGGGATTGTGTATAGATAAATCCAAACCAAATTAAACCCACTGCCACTGAGTAATAGCCACCTTACAAGAAAGAACAGAGCAACACTTTTTTAAGGTTATAAACCTTCCTAGAAACAGACTGCCAGATTTTTCTCACGCGGAGCAGCTAGGATGCTCAAACCACTGACATTTTGTCTAGCAGACTAGTGCATCAACTACTACAGCATTACCAAGAGTCTCCAGATAGATAAAGTGTGTAGTGGTGCTAAAGTCCCACAAGCTAGTTGATTTTAAGATAATAATTTCACACACACAGGTTTTCCCAGCTATTTGAACACAGTATATTACTATGAAGCCTTTTGTAAGCTGAAATGGCATAAAGGAAGAAATCATTATCATTAATAATCCCCAGATGCAAAAAAGAACCTGCTAGATCATATCCTATAACACATAAAATCTATAATAACACTAGGCAGGAATGATATGATAAGTACACAATCTATATAAAGTAGAAATAATTCATGTACAAGGAAGGACTTAAGTTACGCCACTCCTTTTTTTTTTTTGGTGACAACACTCTTGCTACTTGGCATACATGCTTCTACCTCTTTATGGTTTGAGGCAAAACAAATGCTGAAAACTAGGTTTTTTCCCCCTCAGCCTTTTGTAAAAGAGAAAATTCTCAAATCTCTTAATGTTAAGTGAAAAAAGGTACTAATGTAGGTGTTTCAAAAAAAGCAAGTGCCATAGTACACTTTTCAAAAGTTTGCTTTATATCTATGACCCTTCTTTAATTTTATTCACAGAAAATAATTTAAGATAGTAAAAAAGATTTATGTAAAAAACAAAAAAAACATTGCTTATAATGACCTCCCAAACAAATAAAAAAACAAAAAAATAACAAAATATTCCAGGTGAAAGAATGTATTTAAATATTGTTGTTGGTGTGTACCATAGAGTCGGAACAGACCCATAGCTGACCCTCCAACAGGTTTTCAGAGGCAGTTAATTGCACAGGAGGAGACTCCCCATCCTTCTGCCGGGGAGCAACTGGTGGATCTGAACCACGTGCCTTTGAGACTGCAGTGCAGCTTCTTTTCACTAGGTAACCAGTGCTCCCTAAATATATCAAATATAATATGACACAGTCACAGAATTGAATATTATAGTCATTAAAAATAAAACAATTCTTGAATAATATTTAATGACAGAGGGAAATACACAAAAGTGGTTTATCAAAGGGTAAGAATTAGGATGCAAAATTATATAGCTATATATGTAAAAATAGCTTGCCTCCAGAAACTATGAACTTGGAGAAATGAAAGTTATACAACAGTTTTAGGGTCTTTCATTGTTAGGGTCACTATGAGTCGTCTACGACTCACGACACTTAACAACAACAATAGGAAATATATGAACAGAAAATACCTGTATCTCCTTTGTCAAACCACTGATAGGAATATGATTGTTTCTGTGGGGTTAACAATCTAAAACAGATCAGTAGAGGGGGAAAGAATGAATAAGCATATTTTTAAATTATTTATTGAATTAACATTTATAAATTATTTTCCAATTTAGAAAAATTACTTCTTTTTAAAAGTTACCTGAATTGCATGACATTCTGTGAACTTTTAATAGTTGAAACATGTGAACTTTTTGGATTACTATTCACAGCAGAGTCAAGAAGTACCTGAACCAAAAAAAATTGAGTATTGGCTATCAAAACCAATTAAAAATACTGCCTTGCCATGGTACTCAGGATTCTCTCATTTCATTGTCATTATTCTTGACATCATCATCAATATCTATTAATAAAAACAATCAGTGAAACCACTACACATAAAATATTAACTCAACTACTGGAGAACAAATAAGGGAGAAGGCTCTCAAAGAACTTGAAATTTTTGAAGAGTATAAACAAATATACGTGGTGGTTAGTATTTCTACACTTAAACATTTTCTCAACTTATTACCTGATTTTTGTAGCCATTCTTTGTAGCCTTTAAAATTGAGCACAGATAAGAAAAATAGGTTAAGTAAAAGAATAAAAATGGAAACTTTTATGTATACATATGAAAGTGCTTATATTTTATCTTTAATTAAATTTATACTAGTATTAATTGGTATTACATTCCTCTATTAATGATTATATCATCTGAATCAACTTTATTCTCCCTGATTCATGAATTTTAAAGACTCTTATTTTTATTTTGTCCAAAATAAAAATCTTAGTTGTTTTAATAAGAAATTTACCCCATCTACTTTTTAGTATCACATTTGGTCTTCATTTTTGTCATCTTTTTTAAGGTAGCTGTACCAGGAGGAATGTGGCATCAGGATTGGTGGAAGAGTCATCAACAACCTGCATTATGCAGATGACACACCCTGCTTGCTGAAACTGAGGATCTGAAGCGCCTGCTGCAAAAGGTCAAGGACTGCAGCCTCCTATATGGATTGAAGCTCAACATCAAGAAAACAAAGATTCTCACCACTGGGCCAACTGGCAGCATCAGTATGGATGGTGAAGAGATTGAGATAGTTAACAGTTTTAGTTTACTTGGCTCCACAGTCAACACTCTTGATAACAGCAGCCAGGAAATCAAGAGACAAATTGCACTGGGAAAGTCAGCTCTGAGGGACCTCTCAAGAGTACTGAAGAGCAACGATGTCAGGCTGGAGACTAAGGTGCACCTGATCCGGGCTATAATCTTTGCAATTATGTGCTATGCATCAGAGAGTTGGACAATGAATAGGGATGATAAAAAGAGAATTGATGTCTTTGAGCTGTGGTGCTGGAGAAGAGTGTTGAATATACCATGGACTGCTAGGAGAACAAACAGGTTTGTCCTGGAGAAGGTGAAGCCAGAATGCTGCTTGGAGTCAAGGATTCTGAAGCTTCGTCTGACATATTTTGGGCATGTTGCAAGGAGGCACTGGTCCTTGGAGAGGGACATCATGTTTGGCAGAGTGGAGGAGCGGCTCAGGAGAGGAAGACCCTCAATGAGATGGATCGATTCTGTGACTGGAGTGGTGGGTATGAGTGCGTTTGAGATGGCTAGGTTGGCATAGGCTAGAACAGCGTTTAGAGCTTTTGTACATAGGTTTACTATGAGTCGCAAGCAACTCGATGGCACATAACAACAACAATTCATAGAATATTGCACTGTTAACCCAAAGGTGGTGCTTCTGATATTTCAAATCCACCTGATGATCTGTAAGGAAAATATGGGCAATTTTTTCCCATGCCATTTATAGCCTGCAAAAACCTACTGGTGAGTCAGCTATGAGTTGGTTCCAACTCACTGGTAATGAGTTTTGTAAAATTGTGCTTTTAGATTATAAGAAAAAGCTATCAAGCTCCCTTAAAAAAACAAATGTTTCACTATTTTGATATAAGTTTTAAATAATATATTTTAAACATGTCTGCTCATACACACCCTCAAATATTTGTTTAGAAAATATGTTTTTGTGCTTTTAGATATCATCAAGTTGATTCTGACTCATAGTGACCTCATGTACAACAGAATGAAACTGTGCCCAGTAATGTGCAATCCTCACAATCTATGTGCCATCCTTAAATGCTACCCTAAAACTGTGCTGTCATCACAATCTTAAACTCATTGTTGAAGTCATTATGTCAGTCATTCTCATTGAAGGTTTTCTTCTCATTAGCAGACCCTCTACTTTTCTAAGTATCATGTCCCTGTTTATGGACTAGCCCTTCCTGAGCACACATATAACGTATGTGAGATGAAGTCTCACCATTCTTACTCCTAAGAAGGAGCACTCTTGCTGAATTTATTCTAAGATATATTTGTTTACTCTTTTGGCAGCCAATCTTCATTCATAATTATTCAACATTCTTCAACACTACCACAATTCAAAGGCATCAATTCTTTGGACTTCTTTATTCACTGTCCAACTTTCAAAAGTATATAAAGCAACTGAAAATATCAGGGCTTAGATAAGATTTACCTTAGATTTTAAAGTGATATCCTTGTTCTTTAGTACTTTAAAGCTGTCTCTGATGACAGGCTTGTCTAATGCAGCATATTGTTTTATTTCCTCGCTGCTGGTTCCAAGAATGCTGACTATGGACCCAAGTAAATGAAGTCTTGAATAATTTTAGTCTCTTTCATTTATCATGATGTTGTTTATTGATCTAGTTACATGAATATCTGTATTCTCTATGTTGAGATGACTTAGGAATTTCACTGCCAAACCAAAGGCTTGTGGTTTTAATCAGTTGATCCTCAGGGAAAAAGTGGACAATCTTCATTCATGCAATTTATTACCTCTGAAAATCTGCTAAAGAAACAGCTATACGTCAGTTCAACTATACCATAAAACAAAATCTATACAGGACGCTATGGTCTTTGAGCTGTCAATAAGTGCTTCAAGTGTTCTTCATTCTTTGCAAGTAAGTTTGTATCATCTAAATACCAAGATCTGAAAGCATGGAGTGTTCTGGAATTCCCATTCTTCTCAATGTTAGCCAAATGTGTTGGGATCCACTCAGTCATATGCCTTTACATAGACAAGAAAACATTTTTCTGATATTCCTTCAGCCAAGATCCATTTGACATCAGTAATGATATTCATCATGCCATGACCTTTTCTGAATCCAACTTAAATTTCTGCGAGTTCCCTGTTGATGTATGAGTTCAGCTGTTTTTTAATAAGTTTAAGCAGTATTTAATATGCATGGGATATTAATGATATTGTTTTCTGATTTCAACACTCTTGCATTGGAAAACTTTTGAGGGGGGGAGGGGAAAGGGGAAAAAATATGAGTTTCTTCCAGTCAGCTGGCCAGGTAGCTATTTTCCAAATTACTTGGCATAGCCTAGTGAGGACATCTAAGGCTACATCTGTTTGTTGAAACATGTCAATTCATATTCCATCATTTCCTAGGGCCTTGTTTTTTGCAGTACCTTCAGTGTAGCATATAAAAATTTTCTTCGTTTACCATTAGTTCTTGATCATGTGCTATTTCCTGAAATTTCAATGTTGACCAATTCTTTTTTGATATAGTGATTCGGTGTATTCCATCTTCCCCCCCCCCTTTTTGTATCATTCAAGATTTTACTCACAGAATCCTTCAGTACTGCAACTTGAAATTTTAGTTTGTTCTTCAGTTCTTTCAGCTTGAGAAATGTCAAGTGTGTTTTTCCCTTTTGCTTTCTAACACTTTATACATTTCATTAAAATACTTTGCTTTGTCTTTTGAAAAGAAGATATTTGCAATGGAAAAATATCATTGCTTTTATAAAATTCTACCATTTAATTTCCTGACCCATTTCTGTATATTTTCCAACTGCCAATTCTTTTGCTTTGCCTTCAACTTTTGTATTCTAGTCATAAATTATTATTATTGCATCTTGGTTACATGTTAGGTCAATTTCAGTCTGCAAAAGTTGATAGAAATCTTCAATGTCTTCATCTTTTGCTTTAATAAGTATATGTGGATAACTATGTTCAATGAGTATATGTGAATAATAGTATTAACAAGTTTTCCTTATATGCATACGGATAGCATATACTCACATCACTGTATTTCAAGGATAGATAATGAAGTGTTCTTTTGTCTATGAATGAAATATCATTTATCTTCAATTTGTCATTCCAAGCATAACAGATTATATGATTGTATGATTCAAAAGGGCCAACACACAGTACAGTCATGCAATATTACAGAATATTATGGAGCACTGAAAAACAAAAAACTTATAAAACACTATACAACATGGGTAAGTCTGGAAGACATTATGCTGAGTGAACTATCTCAATCACAAAAGTATAAATACTGCATAACTTTGTGTTATAAAGTAACAACCAGGATGCGAGTCAGATCACAGGTAGCACCTCTTTGAGTCCTGCCCTATTGCCTGTTGTTGCTGTTATGTGCCATCGAGTTGTTTACTACTCACAGTGACCCTATGTACAACAGCTCTGAACCCTGCTCTATCCTGAGCCAATTACAATTAGAGGGTCTTCCTCTCTTGCACTGTTCCTCCAATCTTCCAAGCATGATGTCCTTCTCAAAGGACTGGCCCTTACTGGCAACATGCCCAAAGTATGTGAAATGGAGCTTCAAAATCCTTGCCTCCAAGGAGCAGTCTAGTTTCACTTTCTGCAGGACAGATCTCTTTGGTCTCTTAGAAATCCATGGTGTGTTCAATACTCTTCTCCAGCACTAAAACTCATAGGCATCAATTCTTCTTCTCTCATCTTTAATCACTGTCCAGCTTTCTGATACATAGCAAGTAAATGCAAAGATCATGGCTTACATCAGGTGCACCTTAGTCTCTAGACTGTCACTGCTGCTCTTCAGTACTCTATCCTACCCAAAATCTACTTATCTCTGTATTTCAGCTTTTACAAAGCAAACAAAAATGTTTTTTGTTTTTTCCACAAAGTGATTATGCGATTAAATCTAGCCAATGAAATGCTATAATAAACAAGCTAAGAAACTTCCATGAAAGAACTTTAACAACAAGCTGACTCAGTTAGCCCTACCCTCCTTCTTCCTTCCTCCCCTGTCAGGTATCATTGGTAAGTCTGCAATAGCAATTGACTGTCTTTTGACACATACTTGGGGCACGTTATCAATAGGTGCCAATCCTTGTAAAAGAACATAATGCTTAGAAAAATAGAGGGCCAAAGAAAGAAAAGAAGACTCTTAACAAGATGTACTGAAATGGTGACTGCAACAATTGGCTTCACCATGGCAAAGATTGTGAGGATTGTACAGGATAGACCTGGATTTCAATCTGTTGTTTATAAGTTGCTATAATTTGTAGTCAACTTGGTAGTACTATAAAATAACATCTTTTGACAGTAATGTAATTCAGAAGCACTACAAATAATGGGAAAATAGAAAAATACTACAGATAATAGGAAAATAAAGCATGGAAGGCTGAGAAAGAAGACATTCTAGGGATAGCGCTATTCACCTTTAACCTAAACCACCTATTTTAGAACCTGAAAATAAAAGAAAAATCTTTATACTGTTTAAGATGCTATTATTTATTGGTTTGGTTTTATATTAGTTTATATGCAGCAAAACTTTTATAGCCAGTACTTTCTTTTACAGTACTTTTACTTTCTAGCAATAGTAAAGCCTTCTGCCCCAACTATGTCTTCGGAATTCTATAATGTGCTTTTCAGAGTGAATAATTTCGGAACCCTATACAGTTTCAAACTGTATATTTAAGTATCATAGGTTTTTTTTTTCTTTTCTTTTCACTGCCTCTTTTTAAACAGTCCCTCCGTAAGGACTATCCACTTAGCTTTGTATCCAAAGATGAAATTTGTAGGTGAAAGGAGTTAGCCTTCATTACAGACTGGTTAATTTCAGGGTCGAAAATATGGAATGCTTCACGAATTTGCGTGTCATCCTTGCGCAGGGGCCATGCTAATCTTCTCTGTATCGTTCTAATTTTAGTATATGTGCTGCCGAAGCGAGCACGGTAACATAGTTCTTATGACTTCTTTGTGAATTCTTTTTAAATATGAAACATATTTTCCCTGTTAATGTCTTCTGTATTGAATTCTATTGTATGGTGCGATTTTCTTGTTAGGTACATTCCAGTCATCTATTCAAAGTGATTCTATGCACAACAGAGCAGAATCTCACCAAAACCTATGCCATCCTCACAGTCTCTTGTGAATTTAAGCCCACTGTTGCAATCACTGTGCCAATTTATCTTATTGAGAGTCACCCTCTCTTTCACTGATCCTCTATGATTCAAGCATGATGTCCTTTACCAAGGACTGGCCTGCACTGACAACAGGCCCAAAATACGTGAGAGTATGTTTCACCATTCTTGCCTCCTCAAAGAATCACGTGGTTGCACTTCTTCCAACACAAACTTGTTTGTGTTGGTATTGCATGGTATATTCAACACTCTTCTCCAACACCACAATTCAAAGACATTTCTTCTTCTTAGATCTTTCTTATCCATGGTCTAACTGTCACATGCATATGAAGTAGCTAGGAATACCACGGGTTGGGTCAGAAACACCTTAGTCTTTAAACTTACTTCGTTGCCCTTTAGCTCTTTAAAGAAGCCCTAAAGAGAAGATATGCCAAGTGCAATACCTTTGTTTGATTTATTTTTTTTTATTTGTTTGATTTCTAGACTGCTGCTTTCATCTATGTTGGTTTTGTACCATGGTCAAAGGAAATCCTTGACAACATCAGTCTTTTCTCTATCTATCATGATGTTTTGGCTAAGTCCAGATGTGAGGATTTTGTGTTCTTCTATTTATGATATTCTTTATATTCTATTTAAGTCAGTATTAATTCAACTAATATTGTTACATCTATACTGCCAAAAGAACAAACAGGTTTGTCCTGGAAAGAGTGAAACCAAGTTGCTCCTTGGAGACAAGGGTTTTGAAACTCCATTTCACATATTTTGGGAGTGTTGCCAGCAAGGACCGGTCCTAGGAGAAGGAAATCATGCTTGGAAAGGTGGAGGGACAGCACAGGAAAGGAAGATCCTAGATGAGGTGGCTTGACACAGTAGCTGAAGTAATAATGTAGGTAGGTGAGTCGGAGACAGTGAGACTAGCTCAGAATAGGGCAGGGTTTAGAGATATTGTACATAGGGAGCTCAGGTGACTCAACAGCATATACAACATTTCTTGCATTTGCCTACTAAATAGTATCCAGGTTTTATTTAAAATAGTCAAGATAGGGAGCTCTGATGGCCTAGTGGCAAGAAGCTGAACTGTAATCCTGAAGGAGTACAGTTTGAATCCATCAGATGCTCCAGTGGAGAAAGAAAGGCAATCTCCTCCTGGGCTAGTCAGATCTGATTCGACAGTACACGGGGGAGGAGGGGGAAAACAACCCAAAACCAATTTAA